GGGGTTAGGATTATGGTTAGGATTTGGATTAGCGTTTGGATTAGGATTTTGTAATTGTAGATTGGCTTTACAACGCCAATAGATTATTGGTTACAACGTGCGAAACGGCTGAATGTTGACAACTTGCTACAAGGTTGATGAGCTCAACCGACTTGTTCCGAATTGTTCTAACAACTTGTTATCGTCCTGCAATTCAACAACTTGTTAGAAAGTTGTGAGTGACAAGCTTGTAGCAATTGATAAAATAACAGCATTGTTACAACTTGTTGACAAGCTTGCTACAAGCCTGTTGCAAACACATCTTGTTGACCAGTTGTGACATTTTTACGTGGGTAGGACAACAGCCCCTCTTTCTTTCTCTGTAGTTTGGAAGCTGTAAAAATATTGTTGTAATTACATGGAAATAATTCCAAAAAATGTAAAGTATTTGCAATACCTTTGTAAAATATTTTCTTGCAATGTAATATGATTATTTTTATCAAGACCACCAATAAAAATGACAGTAAATTTTAAGTCGCTATTGAATACATTTTTATAGTTCATATATATGTGTATTATGTATACGAGCCTTGCGATAGAATATGTGCTTGGTCACGAATGATTTCCCCCCTTTATTCATGCGTGCAAATTTTGACTGAGAAAAAGTGAATAAATATGTATTCTATATCTGTCACAGTTCGAAATGCAAATATTTTTTATGAAGCACATGTAGGATGTATTTCAATCGGAATGCTTTTCAATTTTCAAAAACCAGAAAATATTACACCTGATAATATTTTCGGCATTGAAGTACATTTTTGGTACTGTATTTTTTATCAAGTTCTCAACAAACTTAAAAACTTCACACTGAATCAGTATCGCAAGATGTTTCAAATATTAAGAATTGTATGAAACTTTTAAACTGGTTTTGATGCCTTGTATATTAGCATAGATAGTCAGAGAACAAAGTAAGATTCGATGCAAAAATCCTGGCAAAAATGTCCAAACTTTGTTACAATTGATATTCCCCAGCCGTATACCTGTTGCCTGTAACAAAATCTAGCCAATAAGCGTCGCTGATGTAAACCAAACAGAACAGGTATGTAGACGCTATGCGTGAATTCATTTGAATATTGCTGCATGAAATATATACAAACGTTCAGTAATTTTCTGTGCGTAATATTTGGTCAAGGAATTATTTTGGTACTTTGCTTCGATTGTGTGGCTTACCATTTTCTGGTGATTCTTAATGGGATTGTTACATTTCATGATGGAGCCATGCTAATAAAAACGGAGTAAATTATACCCGTGTCCATTAAATATCGTGTACTGACCATTGTGGATTTTCGTCCGATGATAAACGAAGACCATTATTAATTAACATCATTGAAATCATTTATTTTTTTTATATGGATACGAATTTTGGTTTTTAATGTGAAAGAGTTTTGGCGCAATGTGTATTTTGGCGCCTGTTACAGGTGGCTTCGAGGAGTAAAAGACGCCGTGAAAGTTTGCCAAGAATTAACACTTCAGAAACTTGGAAAAAGCTTTAAAAGGCTGGTTGTAGAATTGTCAATTTGCTGTGAATGACTGGTATAATTTGCAAGGCAGGGTAAATAAGCTGGACTATTTGTTAACATTTTGTTTACAAGCGCATGATATAAGGAGATGCGTTGTTTATGAAGGTGCCAGTCATATATATATTGGATTTTACTCTGAATTTCTTATTCAGTGGAAAGGTTTCAATTTTTCTTCGTGTCATAAAAGCGAGGCAATTTGACAGCTTTTGAAGTACAAGAAATAATTTGCGTTCAAAATGTCTGGCATTCTCTCTTCAGATAGCCAACTAATTCACGACGAACTCGAGAAAGCCAAAGAAACCGTTACCCGTTTACGCTGTATAAACGGATTCACCCCAGGTTTTTGTCGGAACAGCGCGGTTTGTCCAGGATGCTGGCGACATGAGCAAGACGTCACGGTCGGAAAATATTCGGAAGTTAACGGAACGTATTCGGGTCCCCGTGACGACCCTTGGGAATCGATTAATACGCCTTATTCTCGTGTGGATTCTGATGGCTATGGCAGTAGTAATAGTTCAGCTAAACCTTCCTTGTACATGCACTCGCGGGACGAATCTTACAGCCGCGAGATGTCCCGCGGGAAATCGAGTATGTCCCGCGCGAAATCCACGATGTCCCGCGGCGATCTCGCGCGAGTACACGAACAGATCAATTCCTTGGAGAAAAATATTCGTGGTCCTGTGCTTTCCTACATTCAAAACATCGAGCAACAGAATCTGGATTTGGCTGATGCTGTCGAGTCGATTCAACAACATTTACTGAAACACGAACGCGACTGTCCCGCGGGGAAGGTGACGAATCTTCGTGATATGTCGGGAGGAGTTCGTAAACCGTCGGAAGGTTTTCGGAAATTGTCGGAAGGTGGTCGGAAACTGTCGGAAGGTGGTCGAAAACTGCCGCAAACTGGTCGTAACCAGTTGTTATTCGGTGAGTCCGAAGAGGACGAGTTAATGCAGCGAGTAAACGCTAGTTACAAGTCGGAACAGGAGTCTTGGTTTCGTGCGGATAATCTCGCAAGAGAGTTGTCCATTTGTCGGGAGAAGTTGGAAAATTCCGAAGCGAGAGTGAAAGAATTGTTCAGAAATCTTTCGCAAAGGCAAGTGAGCGGAGCGCCGGCTAGCAGCGAGATGTTGTTAGAAAGTCAGCTACAACGACAACAACAACTCGCTGAAGATTATCACAAGGAATCCACGTCGAAAGAAAGAGAGCTGAGTTTCCTAACCATTGAGAAATACAACCTACAAAGCGAAGTCAGTTCGCTTTTGTCAGATCTCGAGTCGTGCAACAGAAAACGCGATGAGATGGTCTTGGAACAGAAGAAATTGCAAGCCACCTTGGGAGCGAAACGACAACGAATTAGCGACCTTCAAAACGAGATGTCGGCGACGAAATCAGAAAACCGACAATTGAAAACAAGATTCCGTGATGAGCTTGGGAAAGAGCGCTCCGTCAGCGAACAGAAGACGCAAAAGCTGTACGCCAATGATCGTGAAATTAAAGAATTGGGAAAGAAGGTTAAGAAGTTCGAGCAGAACTATGCTTCACATAAGGACGTTACATATCGTTTGGAAAAAGACAAATTAGAACTGTTGTCCAAGGCGAAACAGTTGAATAATGAACTCAAAATAAAAGAATCCGATTGTAAAAGCCTACGGCAAGAAAATGAAAAGTTGACTACAGAGATTAACAACGTCCAACAGGAGGCAATTCTGAGTAAAAAAGACACTGAGAATGCAAACGTTTACGTTAAGAACCTTAAAAGTGAACTCAAAGAAGTCCAAAGTTCGTTGAAGGTCTTGGAGCAGTCTTTGACAGAGAGTAGAGTTCACGAATCCAAAACCACCACAGAGATTGAAACGTTTATTAAGGAGCAGCTCGAACTTAAGTCTCAAATTGAAAAGTACGAAAGCGAGAAGATCGTTCTGACGCAAGAATTGACCGTATTGCAAACACGTGAAGTCGAATACGCCAACGAAATTACACTGATGAAAGAGAATTATGGAACGTCGGAAAAGGGTTTTAAGGATTTAACCGAGAATTGCTCTGCTCTTAAAACCGAACTCGAACTATCACGCGAGAAGTATCTTCAGCTAAAAAAAGAGAACGATGAATTGCTATTGGCGAAAGCTGATTTGGAAAAGTCAGGGGGTTCTATCAGAGACGAATTAACTGAAGTTACTGCAAATTATAATGATCTATTGGAAAAGAACGGTCGAGTTTCTTCAGACTTGAAAGCTTATAAAAGAATAGTCGGCGAACGCGATGAACAGCTTAAGAAATTGGAACTCGAATTGACCAATTTACATAAAAAGCAAGACAAAGATCTTAAGGATTTGTTACGTAAAGATAAAGAAATTGCATTCCTCAAGGCTAGGGTTTCCTCTTTCGATCGTAATACGCGAGGAGGCCTGGGGGCGGCTCGGTCTCTCAGCCAATCAAGCTTGAGTACTCTACAACACGAGTCCGCGCAGCCCAGCAAGGAGACTGAGATCTACTTGGAAAGAATCGTGGAACTCGAAAGCGAATGTAAAGCGCAGAAGGGTCAAATTGAGAAATTCCAAAAAGAGGAATTGTATTCCAAGAAAGAAGTGCAACGATCCGATTCTCTGAAACTTGAACTGGCGCAGCAAGACGATGAAATACAGAAATTGAAACGTGAGATATCACGTTCGAAGCAGGTAAGAATGATAATCGATTATTCCAGCTGTAGACGAAATTTTTATCTAGACAAGAAAAATGAAATCCATTACCATCGCGCTAGAAAGAGCATCTGAAAATGAGTAAAATTGCAAAGTTTGGTTGCGAATTGTTGTAAAATGAGGAAAATATAGTCCTGTGAAGTTCGCAAATTTTGTATATATTTACATCACGCGCGGTAAAAATAACCATTTTTGAGCCGAATGTGGTTATTTTTACCGCGCGTAATACAAATATATACAAAATTTGCAAACTTCACAGGGCTATATTTTCTTCATTTTACAACATTTAGCAACCAATCTCTGCAGTTTTACTCATTCTAAGACGCTCTTTCTAGCTGTGATGTTGGATTTCGTTCTTCTTGCCTTGATCAAAATTTAGTCTAACTGGAATCACCCATTCTTCCATTTTGGTGGGCAGTCCACACTATGACTAGTTTGTGCACATGTAGAGCATTTAATTAAACAAAATAATCTCATTATTTTCCCCCTCAATCTGCTTTTGCGCCAAAGTCTCGTGAGATTGCTTGAAAGCACCTATTGGTTTGTGTATGAACTGACACGGCACATACTCAGGAACTGAATTCAGTCCGTATTTATTTTAGATCATCGAGGACTTGGAAGTTAAGGAGGAGCAATTGGGTACAGTTGAGGTGGAGAGGGAGAAATTGAGGCAAGAAGTGAGCAAGCTTCAAGCGAAGGTTGAAGAGACCGCGCAGTTGAAACAAGACTGGGAACAAAAAGATCAAGAGATCAAAGCCCTGAGAAGAATGTCATCTGATGAAGCTGATATGGAGGGCAAGGTGTCCAGATTCAAGGATAGGTAAAGAGGTTTTTTGTTGATAAAATATTTTCGTTGTTGTGTACTGTAAGTACTTAGTAGAAATACCTTGAGTCCCAAAAGGATTAAACACACACAGTCTTTATGATACAAGCTCATACTAAGTTATAGTAGTTCGTTAAGTGTACGACTGTTGCTAACGAGTACAGGGTGTTACAAAGGTGTCAGGGTGATTTTTAGTCGCACCTAGCTGACTGGTATTCCATTGATTACTGTCGCGTACTTTGATATGACACAGACTTAAGACTCAAGGTGTACTTAGTCGTTTAGCTAAAATACTGTTTTCTGAAAGGTATTATTCATTCAATGACTTGAAACAAAATGAGTTAGAATATCAATTCGACAATTCCTTGTTTTATCACTCCAATCATGAATTTAAGTATTCATGAATTTCACAACATCTGCATTACAAAATGTTTAGTCACTTTAACCACTACCCTTTTTGCTTGGAAATGATTTCGATGGAATATTCCCCATAACATTTTAATACTGATTATTATCATCTGACACACCAGATGTCGTGAAAAAGATGAAGAGATTGAAGAACTGCATAAAAAAGTGATCGCACTTCAGGTGAAAATTAAAGATTTTGTTCAACAAAATTCTGAAGCTGAAGAACAAGTGAGAAACATCAAGGAAAAATATGCGACAGAGTTGAACGAGAAGGAGAAGATCACTCATGCCTTGTCTGCCTCGGAAACAAAATGTCGTTCCCTGGAGGAGGATGTACAGAGGCTGGAAAGCAGTAGCGCGGACTGGGAGAAAAAGGTTTTGGAAATGAAGAACAAGGTGGAGAGTTTGGAAAATGAGAAAGAGGAAGAAAGTGATAAATTGACGGAGTTGACAGCAGAAATCAAGAAGAATGAAGAGGAAATAGGGACACTGCGAAAACAGGTAACACAAAATGAAAACAGTTAAAAATTTTAGGGCATGGCTAAGAGATTTCTTGAAATGTTTTTGTTATTGCAAGAGACCACTGGCCTGTTTTCATCTTATGTGACCAAACCAAAGATGTTGAATGGCGTCGAATAAAAGTTTTATCTTTTGCAAACCAGCCTTAGTTTTTCTTGCTGAAAACATTTCGTATTCTTGAAGTGCAATTGTCCATCATTGTTAAAATTTTTTCATTTCTGATTGCAATAATACGAAAAAAGACCTTCCAAATTAAATCACTTTGTTTAGGCATTCTTTCCAGTTAAACTTGGATTGCTCTTCTTCCCCCTTGTATTGCTTTATACATTTTCGGATTTCCACCCTAGGTTCTAGACCTTGAAGAACAAAATAGCATGACAGCGAAACAAAACGAAGAACTGTTGGCCGCTAATGACATACCTGATGGGGCAAGCACCCCCCTGGACAACTCCTTGGATGGCAGCAGAGCCACTTTAAGTCGCACAGGTCGCGCAAGCGCTATGGAGCGACTAGACACCCTTGAAGAGGAAAACATCCAACTTCTGAACAGACAGGCCGAGCTGGAGGACGAACTTGACGCGTCCGAGGAACACGCAGGGGAGCTGAAGAGCGCGCTCAAGGCAAAACGCGAGAACGTAAACGAACTACACGCGGAATTAGATCTGCTCAAGGAACGAATGAAGAGTTTAGAAAAAAGCAAAGCAGAACTGGCAGACGAGAACGAGCAACTACAGCAGACGGGTCTCTTGTCCAAACAGAAGATTGGAGATCTTAAGGTGACCAGTGAACGGTATATCGAAGAATCGGATGAATTGGAGAAAGCGCTGACGACAGCAGAACAGAGAGTGGAGGAGCTGGAGAAACGACTTGATGAGGTAAGGGCTGATACTTCGTGTTATGTTTCATTTTAGAATCTGTGAACCAGTGAGCTCCGTATATCTGTAGCGAGAACTCGAACTTTGTGCCGAAATTTCGTATTTTGACTTCCATTTAAAGAATAATACTATGGTTTTATAAACTGCACTTAGTTGGGAATATCGTATTAAAACGGTTTACGATCTTTATATCTATTGGACGTCAATTTCTTCCATTATTTTTATTATTATATAAAACCATATTTTCCACGGCGTCCAATTCACATATCGTGCTCTTCCCTGGAGTCATGAAAAATTAACATTAAATATATACAACATGAGACTATTACTAGATTGTAGACTATTACAAATATATATGAGATATAAGATAAAAACTTTTAGACAAATATGTATAAGTGTTTTAAATTGGTTAACTGATTTAACATTAGTTGCATGCTCAGGTAAGTTATTCCACAGCAGGATAGCATCTCTGTATGGGAAAGTTTTTGCTCCAGTTGCGTTGTTTTTGAAGTACCGGAATAAAATTTGGGTTCTTTACAATTGTGTTAAGGTATCCGGTAAATGTGCGAGCAGCGAAGGTCAACTACAAAGTATGGGTGAAAGATTGGCAAGAAAGGAAAAAGAACTGGAAGTTGTCGAAAATCAAGTGGAAGAACAACGCAAGCTTTGCGATGGCTACAAAGCCTCAGCCGAGAAGCAAGAAACTTTAATCGAGAAACTTCGAGCAGAGAAAACGAGCGCTGAAGAAACTCTGCTGGCTATGAAATTGGAAATTGCGAAGAAGGAAGTTGCTTATAAAGCTGGGAAAGAGAAAGTCGCTGAAATGCAGACACGACTTTACCAAACAGAAGATAAGTTTTCAAGCAAGACTAACGAATTGAAGAAGGTACGTATTCTTATTTTACCACTGATCAATTTTTCAAAATCAACTTCTTCTTAAATTTCGTTGTGGATATAAAAGGTTAATTGATAGTGTAAACAAGTCTTTATAATATACCATTACGACTAAAATTCTCATAATTCTGTTCTCATAGATAAATCGCGAGAATGAAAGACTAAAACGTGAGATCAAAGATTTAGAATCGAAAGTTACCGAACTTCAAACGATGTTGAAGAAAAGCAAGTCTCTGGAACTGGAAAAAACCAGCCCTGTAACAGGTGTATACAACACGGCATTTCAGAAGATAACCACTTCTGTCAAAGGCAACTCGCAAAATATGGAGGGACTCGACACGAAACTAAACCAAGCCCAAAACAAGATCTCCACGCTGGAAGTCGAACTGGCCAACGATCTTCGGAAGTTTTCGCTTCACCGAACTTCATCCGACGCTCCACGAAGATCTTTCTCGCCAAGCGACAGCCGACTGAGTCCTGGTTCCTACAACTTGCGTCGCCCGCGATCATACTCTAACTTTTCAGCGGATGAACGCGAAAGCCCAATGTCAATCCCAAGATCTGATTCTTCGCCAAGTATTAATGGGGATCTTAACTCCGGGAAGAAATCCCGTAGCACACCAGAAATTTCAATATCCCAACTGGATGTTGATGTGACCGATTATACACCGAAGACATCCGAAGGTGATCTTTCCCTGATCCTGGGTGATGGGAAAGAATTTGAAGCAAGCGGTGAAATATCGAATACTCCAGCCGAAAACCAATTCAGCGAAGTCGATCCGTTCTTGTCTACTAAAACAACAGCCTCTTCAACAGAAAACCTTTCTTCCTCCGAGCAAACTGTCGGATATTTCAAAAGCGAGACTGACCAAGAGTTTGCAAACGAAGCGATGTCATTTTTTGTCGAGGAAATTTCGTTGGAAGGCGCTCAAGTCCAGGAAATCGTTAGTGTCCAGGAAATTGTGACGTCATCGTCAGCTGCGGTTACGGAAAATAATGCGTCATTATCTAGTCCCAGCATGCAACCAGGGTTGAACGGCGAAGAGGAATTAATTTACTTTTAGAATTCGAACGTGTAGTTAAATCCAGGACTCGAAATCGATATTAGTAGCTAATGTAGGCAAAGTGATAATTTACTATTTTGAAAGCGTAGGAACATTTTACGGGAGTATTAGTATTTTGTATTTGTTATTATCTAATATACTAACATTAATATATTTAGTTCTTTGTAGGTTTGCATGGCGATAAAACTTATAATACTTTTTGTTTGTGGAAACACCAAGTAAATTTATTACTCAAAAAGTATTATAATAATATATTTACCATGCATTTCATATTAGAAATACATCCAATTGAGCGTGCTAGCAACTTTTATATGTTAATTTCTACTTTTATTTCATTTCATAATTTATATGTATAATTTATAATCTTCTATGATAAGGTATTTAAAAGATATTTATTCTTCAGTCCTAATGTATATTCTGTTATGATAGTAAATAAAAGTATCGTAGACGTAGTAGTAATATCTGGTTATATTTAGTTTCATTGGTAAATGTAATCTTCAACGGTCAACTTCGGATTGATACAACTACCTGAAAAGTACAAGGAGAATTCCATCCGCATTTAATTCATGTCCATCCGCGTTTCTGTATTTTGTCCGCCGTCCGTAGCATCTTAACCCACAGTCATCTGACATGCAAATTGTCTTTTTATACGACTTTAGACCGCGGCTTATTTTTGCCCTTATTAACAGGTGGGGTTAGACTCCAATTGGAAACCTGTGTTTCATCTTATTTACATTCGGTTTTCGCTTTGAATACCAAAGAAAACTAGTCTCCAAATATTTTAATAAACCCATCATGGCGTACGCCAGGAAATTTTTTATTATATCCTTGTACAAACAGAGAACAAAGTTACAGAGTTTGTACAGATTCTCTTGTAATTTTCTCGCCTAATGGCCTTTTCATGGGATGAATTATTTCGACTGTTTTTGAAATATTTTCTGTTGTAATTAAACAAACACGACTTTAACCATATCTGTTTAGGTTTATTGATGTTTAGTTTTGTTTGTAGTTCCAACTATTCCATTCAGCACTGTATTATAGGTTTAAATCGGCAACAAATCATCCTGGTAAGATGGGATAAAGCCTTATAAGGAAAATTTTATCCCACTTGCTGACTGGGATCCCACCCAGCGCAAGACGAGATCTCCCCCAGCCGGGCTGGCTCATTCCTCATATGAACACAAATTTAATTTTTCTTTTATATGCGTTAACAAAGGGCACGCAAGTGAGCTTCCGGTTAGTTGGGCCTAAAAAATGTAGTAGACAGTAAAAAATGGCAATTTAGAAATACCGGATGGAAACGGCTAGGATGCATGACAACAGGCACCCAAAACCGCAAAAACGTGCCTGGGAGGAGACAGGCTCGTCAGCTTTTTCGATGAAATGTAATTACTAGCTATATTTCGCGTGCTTTTGTGACGTGCGTGCACAATTTGGTCGGTATATTTTGTGATTATCATAGTGTTTAGATTATATTTCCTTAAACGTAAACAGTATTTAATTGAACAACGCTACTTTGCATGCATTGTCATAGAGACAACGCTAACGCCTGCTGCGTTTGATAAGCAGATAAGAAAATTAGCAAAACCTCGCTTAAAATTTCTTGAAGCTCTGTGAGAAATGTTTGGTTGAGCTTTCTTAATTGTGGAAACCTAATATAAAATTGTCACAAGAATAAAAGTATATTCCAGGTATTTTGGGTTTTTTTTCAACATTGTGCCCTATGGAGTAACAGGTACTACTTTATGCAGACTGTATTGCACTAATGGAAATGTAAACAGTAATGCACTAATAGTAAATTTGTTGTCGCTGTATATTTGCTCAAATACAAGTTAAATGCATTTAAGTCAAATTGAACAGCATTATTAGCAGGGGATAACAGATACTAATGACTTTATCCCCATTTTGTATCCATTATTGCAACAGGTACTATATACACCGCACGCAAAAACTGTTTTGTAAACTATAATACAGGGCTAGCACATTTGTCGATGCAGCGTGGGTCTTCAAATACAAGTAAAATTTCTCAATTCAAGTTATAAACTGAACAAAAATCAAAATACTGGCTGAGGGGTACGGATGATAGATGCAATTTAATGTGGATTCTGTCCATTTTTGTGTTCATTATAACAGCAGGTAGTATGCAAATAAAAACATTTTTGTATATACACTATGATGGCAACTTTGTTTATGCTGTATAGTTGCTCCAATACAAGTTCAATTTGATTTTCGACTGTTAACGGCTGTTTAACGCTTCGTAATGGAAACAACTAGTAACTCGAAGCTAAGGTCGGCAAGAAGCCTTGGAGAAGCCGAAGATGGCGAGCTTAGTCGTGATACAACAAACCAAATCGAAGATGATATGTTGTTCTCAGTTGATAACAAAGGAACTGAGGACTTACGGAGCCCAGAGGATGAAAATTCAACGATAAAAGAAGAATTTAAAGTTTCAAGTAGGGAGGAAAATAACACAATATTGGAAAAGGATGAAGATGTTTTACCAAAACTAAATATGTTGGGTAGTTCCACAATGGATATGTTAGACGATGCTGTGAATGAAAGGAGTTGTGATAAATCTGTGAACTCAGAGCTACCGACAACAAGCCTTGCAGGAAATGAAGATAACGATTGTATTCCAAGGACAACAGAACAGATATCACATGAAGGAAATAAGTTGTCCCCAAATGATGGCAATGGAATTGAAGGGAATACAAATTCAACACAGCAGGAAGAATTTAAAATTCCAAGCACGGACGATCGCGAGAACAGGTATAGAAATTGAAAAATTTTAAATTTTAAATGCAATTTGTAGTAAAGTCGTGGTCAGTTGATGAGAGTTTGGCAGTCACGCATTGTTACTGAGGGCATTTCAAGCTCTAGATTAACAAAATAAAGGTTTGACGAGTGTTCCAACTATGTTATAACTTAAATAGAATACATGATAGTGTTGGGAAAGCATTAAGAACAGCTAACCAAGGTCACGTGACTGCCAACTCTCGTGCGCTCTCATCCTCGTTTCATCCAATATCATGTTAATTGTTGAATAAGGATGAAAATATTTTATCTAAATTAATAGTTTGCATAGTTCCATTGTGACTGAGTTGGACAACGCTGCGAGCTTCGTTGGAGGAGCTGAAAGTTTACCAGAAGATGTGAATTCAACCAAAAAGAAAGAAATTTTCCAAGAAAATAACACAACTTTTAAAAAAGATGGTGAAACCGTTTTGTCAAAACTAAAAGTTGCGGATACTTCGGCAGTGAATACATTGGGCAGTGTTATGAAAGAAAATCATTGTAGCAGATCTGCTGCTGGTAAGTTTATGAAGTAAATGTGAATAAAATAAAATTAAGTAAAATCTTTAAAGTAATGCAAAGAAAATGCTGTGATCACTGTAGGAATTTGGCAAGGGTAAATTCTAAGTTTTGAAGGATTTGTAAGAAATTTTTGAGGGAACTAACTCATTGTTTAACACTGATTCCCTCGATCATTTCAAACAAATCCTTCTTAATTTAGAATTTACCTATGCAAAATTCCTACTAGTGCTGTGATCACAGGAACTTTGATATCTTAGCCAGCCCTAATTTGAGCATGAAGAGGAATACAAAAGAAAACCCAACCCTGGGGATTACCAAAACAAAGTGCATGGGAAGCATTTTCATTTTAAATTTTCTTTGCTTCCCTCTAATGTCGGGGGCGTCGGATCCACCAGTCTTTAACTCTGAGCTTTGTGTATATAGGTTCGATTCGCGATCCAGAGTTATAAGAGATTCATGCAAAACGGTCAGTCAATGCTTTGCCAAAAGTCGTGTGTTTTCTCCGGGTACTCTGGTTTCCGGTCACAGGGAATGTTGACAATGTGGATTAGGAATTAGGACACATTCACAGAAGAAAGCCGACCACATTAGCATTAGTTGCATTTAAATACCTATCGTAGTCATATTAATGACATTATTGCCATAATTAGTAAGGCTTACATAGCTTTATGCTAATGCGTTCGTCGAAAGCTTCAGCCTTTGGATCACTGTAATTTCTTTGTTTTGGAATCTACAATAAACTATATATATAGTAGTATTGTGCTTTTGGACGCTCTCTGGTTTAAAATATTTTATTAATTTAACGAGTTTTGGGTTTACAATTATTTAACGAGTTTTGGGTTTACAAAAATATAGAGTGAAAAAAAGTGACAGTTTCGCCTATAGATATGATTAATGACTAGATAGTGTATTTAAATTATTCAAAGTCTCTTTAGTAGAAAGCGATATTGTTCTGGTAAAGGTTTTGAGTTATTATCAGGACTTTTGTCGTTGCAGTGTGTCAGGATTCCAATGTTGATCTCTGTCGGTGGTTGCCTTAATAAAAAAATGTGTTTTATAGTGAAACTATAACGGCATTCAAGTGATGCATTAAACCAATAATGTCAAGAGCACGTCTTTCTTCTCCCCAATACAAGTCCCCTTATGTTTTTCCTATAATGTTTTTTCTCCTAAGCTGGCTTGTTATGACTGTAGTATTTTTGCATCAGATATACGTAATTACATAGTGTCTCCGCAGCTGTTCTGAAAACACTTTCCGTAACTACAGTAACTACATTGTTACCTTCCCTTCGGAGATTGCAAACTGACGGTCCAAAACTTGTTAATAAAGAAATAAATCGATTTTTCCCACCAGTATCGTATTAAATTATTTAACAGGTTTTCGTTTAAGTCCCTGTCAAACGAGAACAAGAGTTGCGTGGAAGTTGATAAGAGATGGCTGGATATTACCATTCAAACGGGCAGCAACTCTCGTTAACTCTCATCAAAATTTGATGAGAGTTGATGAGAGTGCATAAGAGTCAAACGAGGATGACTTTGAGCTAGTTCAAATTTTGATGAGATCTAGACTTCGCTATCTGCGTGGTAATATCCTGTCGACTTTCATCAACTCCCATGCAACTCTTGTTCTGGCACGAGAGTTGAGAAAACACTCGTGCAAACTCGCGCATGCCATTTAGTTTCATCAACTCTTACCCTCCTTTTTACCAGCCGTGGTCAAGTTTCCGATGCTTCTTTATCAGTGACTTTCTACTAGAGGTGTGCAAATCCGATTCGTTCGGATTTTGGAACAAAAATATTCATTTCGGATTGAATCGGATTGATAAAGTTGTTTCGTAGTCGGATCAGATCGGATCAATATTCTAAATAGTTAGTTAAATATTTCCATGAGAAATTTATTTTATTAAAGGATTCTTCGGATTGGATCGGAATTCTTTATCAAAACTGGGATCGGATTCGGATTAGACAATTTCGGCATGTTACAACATTTGGCACCAAACTTTGCAATTTTACTCATTTTAGTTTGCTATTTCCAGCTGTGGTGATTTATTTCATCTCCTTTCCTAGTTTTAAAATTAGTCTATAATGAGAATTGTCTATCCTCGAAACAGACAAAGATGCATCTAGAAATTTCTGCATGACACATTTTTTTCTCTTCGCCTAAATAGGTTTATCCCTTGAACTTGAAGATTTGAAAGGAAGGTACCAGAAAATGACAAAAGAGCGAAACTCCTTACAACAAAAAGTTTTTGAAATGCAGTCTGAGTTTTGTTCCGTTGAGATTGAACGAGATCTTGAAAAAGAAACATCGCGATATTTAGAAGAACAAATTTCTTCTCTTAATTCATCACTTTCATTGAAAGAAAATGAGCTTGAGTCGTTGCGAAAACGGTATAAGCTGTTGAATGAAGGCTTTTTAAACAGTGAAACGCTCAGAGAAGGTTTGGAAAGGGATATCTCTGAATTGACAAAGGTCATTAGGGAATTGGAGGAACGTTTAGAGTTATCAGAAGGAATGTTGAAGGATAATAAGGATAATCTGGAAGTTAAGACTGCAGAGCTAAGTGCAGAAAACGCTGAAGAGAAAGCGAAGTTAGAAACTGAAGTCGCTACGCTAAATGAAACATTGAGAAAAGAAAAAACGTCAAAGACAAACTTAGAAGAAATGTTTACAAATATTGAAAAGGAACGGAGTTTGCTTTTAAAAGAAGTTGAAGAGTTACGAAGTGAACATCAGAAACAAATAAACGAAGTGACTGTTCTTAGAGATCTGCTTCACGACAAGAATAAACAAGAACAACTGAATCAACTCCAGGAACAACAGTTACAAAGGAAACTGGAAGAGAAACAAAAACAGCAAAACAAAGAAGTTATCGAACTTCAAGAAAGCAGTATTCATTTGTCCAGTAAAATTTCATTAATCCAAGACGAGAATAAAACATTAGAAGATGAACTATACCAGCAATTGGCAGTCTTGGAAAATCTTCAAGTTGAGAATAAATCGCTTACCGGAGCAAGAAAGGAACTTCGAGAAATTTCCGATAAATTAAAGGTTCTTGGAGTTGATGGTATTGAACAGCTAATCATCGGCTATTCTGAGTTACAAGAAGGTAAAAAAGAACTGGAAAGAAAAATAAGTCAACTAAAACGCGAGATTTCGATTTGTCAAATATCCAAAGAAAAGGCGGAATCGAATTCTGGTGGTACGTCCATGGATTGTCCTCATTTGGGAGTACATTCTACAAAATCTTCTTGTGTCCCTAGATCTGAGTACTTGAAGTTGAAATTCCAATTAAAGTTTTCGACAGAGGAGATTAAAACACTCAAACAAGCTTCGGAACGTAAAATTATGAAAGAAAAGGCAGTTTCATCTGGAACTAAACAAGAACATCGCTCTAGGAAGCATGAAAATAGGATGGCCAAGAAATGGTTGAACACGATGAAAGACAGTATGAATGCTTTTGTCAATGAAGATGAAGACTTTTCTCACGCACAGTATGGTACTGTATTACTGGAAAACCAACTGCACGAAACTAATATTCGCGTTGATGCCTTACAACACGAGCTGGATATTTCCAGGAAAGAAAACGCAGTTTTGGATTCTACGAATAAGAAACGAGAAGAAGAAATCGAAGTGTTAAAACGACGGTTAGTTCAAAGCCAGGAAAATCAGACCACCTTGTTGAAGGACTTGAAGACGAAACTTGGGAAAGCAGAGAAAGAATTGGAAGATGAAGTTCAGAAGGGTATTGGAATGGAGGGGAAAATTGCTTATCTTGAAGAACAAAACCAAGACATGTGTATCGAACTTGAGAAACTAAAAGAGAAGTTTCAGTCCTCGCAAAAAGAAAAAGAAAGGGTTCAAAATGAGCTTGAGTCGTTTAAACATGACATTTTAAAGAACTTTGGCAGCCTGAATATACAATCTGTCAGTAAATCTTTGAACAGTGTAAAAGAAAAATCTGTTGAATATGTGAAAATTATTGAAACCAACAAAAGTAATCTGCTAAAACTGACTCAAGATTTAAATTCATTGCAACAAGTGAACACAATTTTACGAGAAGAACTGAATGAAGTCCGGATTCAGCTGGAAAAGAAAGATGAAGTGATTTCTAAGAAATCTCTCAATGAATCCATTTCGGAGAAACGTGAGTCTGATCGACTTAAAGCTGTAATACAAGCGTTGGAAAGCAGCAAGCAAAATGAGGCAGAACTTCTGGCCATGTACACAAAAGAGAAACGAGAATTGGATAAATTACATGAGGAACTGATGAACTCGAACTCCGAATTAGAGGAAGCGAAAATTTTATTATCGGAAAAAGAAAAAGAATGTGAAACAACCAGTCGTATTATGCGAGAACTGGAAGCATCTTGTGAAGTGTATGAAGCCGAATTTGAGAAATCGACAACGGTACAAGAACAGGAGAATTTAGACCGAGGAACCAAAGAAAACGAGTTATCTCCAGATGAAAGCCAGGAGGAGGAGCTTTCCGAAAGCGGTAGCGATTCGACTGCTGAGAATTTCCGAGAAATGCAGGAGGCTCTTCAGGAGCGTATGGCAATGAAGGTGAAACGTCTGCAAAATAGACTTGAAGAAACACTGGCTGCTCTATCTTCATGTCAAAAATTGAACGTAGATTTACAGAAAAGATTGCATGATGTTGAAAACAAAATTTTAGAGAAGGAAGAAGTCGATGGTAGAACACCTGATAAAGAATTCTTAGAAACAATTTTGGATAAATTCTCAGAAAAAGAGAGAGAAATCCAAGAAATTTTACAAACGAATTTATCAGGTCCTAGAGATGGGAAGCAAGAAAACCGTGAAAATAATTCGGATGAATTGTTGTCTCCTTATAAAGAAACCATCAAACAATTGAAGATAGATAATGCCAAAAAGGAGGTTCATTTAGTTGAAGCAAAAGAAAGAATCGCTGAACTTGAAGAAAAACTAGCAATTTATCAACATTTCCGAGAAGATAACACACGGATTCTAGATTGTTCTGATAATGATATGACATTTGAGAATGCCAGCATTACGATAGCATCAAAAGAGGACTTGATCGGAGCAGACATCGTCGTTGCAACCAATGATAATTTGAAAGAAGAGCTGGATTGTATGACTGCAAAGTATGCCAACCTCAAGGCTGCCTTTGAAGGATGTTTAAGGCGGTTAAAGACTATGGAAGGAGGAGAAGATGGAGAGGAGGAAGAAACAGCAGGTACTGTGAATATGGTTGAAAGATATAAATCATCTGACGTTATTGAAGGGATGGTTGTGCCTAAGTTTATTTCTCCTCTTCAGGGAAAGAAGACAGAAACTGCTGAAAATTATACTGGATTCCAGGAATCGGCAAATTTTGAAAACTACCAAGACATGCGAGCTATTAAAAGTTCATCATTCTCGGAAATTTCATGTGCTTTCAAAGAAAGTGATTCAGACGCGGATTCTATTGGAAGCGATTGTATGGTTATCGAACTTACTTTGACTGAAAATGATCTTGATTCGTCGGAAATTTCTGAAACTTGTAACGAATTTCTGCACGAAAGGTTAGACCATGAAAACGAGTTTGGCCGTCTAAGAGCTAACATTATTGAGCTAGAAAAACTGAATTCTACGACTACAAACGAAATTCATCGTGTTAAACAAAGTTCATTTAAGGAAAGAACCGAGTTAGAAAACAAGTTAAGATCTTTGGAAAAGTTGAATAGTATGATGAAAGCAAAACTGACCGCAGTTGAAGCCGAAAGAGATTCCTTAGAAGAACGCGGAAACCAATCAGATATTAGGCATTCAGAAGCCAAACAGGAACTCCAACGGGTCAAAATCTTTACGTCAAATGAACAGGAAACTTCAGAGAATACCATAAAAGGATTAAAAGATCAAGAGAACACTTCGAAGAAACGAATGGTGAAATTGGAAATGGAAAAGGACGAATTAAGGATGAAAACAGAAGAACTGCAAGGACAACTTCAGGACTGCTTCCAAGAAGCAAAACGCGTGAAGGTTGAATATTATAGCCAGGGTGAAAATTTTAGAAATGTTTTCAAAGAATTCGAACATGAAATAGAAGTGCACAAGAAGGGAAAGGAAAGGTATGACTTCAGAATGTCAGAATTGAATCAAAAAGTTTGTGTGCTTGAAAATGAAATACGAAAATCCAAAGACGATAATTTAGAACATGAAGAATCCATTAAGAAATTTGAGGGTGTAATTTTGAATTTGAAGAAACAGAATACCGATTTGAAATGTGAGAAGGAGGATGCATTCGTGAAAAATAGAGAGCTTCAACATAGAAACGAGATATTAATTAAACGTCAAGAACAAGACATGGCCTCAATTCTCAAAGAAAAGGAGGATTTAGAAAATAAAAGTATTCAACTTCAGACAACAATCACTACACTGGAAGAAACGTTAGGCCGTGAGAAGACGAGAAGTGATGATCTAACTTGCAAGTTTAGGATAGAGAATAAAGAAAGTGAATCACTTCTCCTCGGCGAAAGAAAAGCGTTTGAAGATACTACAAGACAGCTACAAGAGAAGATAATGATTTTGAAAAAAGAAATGAAAGATTTAAATTTTAGAAAAGATAGTTCGGAGTCGATGATGAAAGAGCTGGAAGAAAAAAATGATTTGTTGGATGAAGAAAGAGAAGAAGATGAGCGACGCATTAAAACGTTGTTGGATGAAAGACAAAGTTTAGAAGATACCGGTGAAGAGCTTCAGATCATGATTGCAGAGCTTAAAGAAAGGTTTATGGTTGAAAATACGGGAAAAGATAATAAGATATCGCTAATTCAGAACGAAAACCTTTTCCTAAAAGTTGAAAGTGAGAAGATAGAGTCACAAGTTTTAAGTTGTGTTGATGAAATACAACGGATCAAATCGTTGTCCTTCAATGAAAGACAAAAATTGGAAACAGTTGTTACAAATCTCCACGAAACTGTTTTATCTATGAAGAAGGTAATTGGCGAGGATAAGCAAGCGATGGAACATTTGAATTTAATGAGAAACGATTTTGAAGATAAATGCATTTACCTTCAGAAAGAATTGGAACGTGTTAAAATCTGTTCTTTTAAGGAGAGCGAACTGGAGAATAAGATTGAGAAACTAACTGAAGCACTGTTTTCGATAGAAATAAAATTTGAAGACTTGAAAAAAGAAAAAGATCACCTGTTGTTGAAGGAGAAAGAATCTGAAGAAATAATTTGGAAGTTACAAGAAGAACTACAACGAATCAAAGTATATGCTTTTGAAGAACGACAAAATATGGTGGCTAAAGTTGAAAACTATAATGTATTGGTTAAAGAAAGTAAGACAAATTTCGAATATCAAATTTTACGTGATAGACAGATTTCTTCATTAAAATTGACAGTAAGCGAACTTGATGATCTGAGGAGAACTCTTGAGAATGACAAATACGTGCAGCATGAAGAAATATGTGCTTTTAAGATCAATGTGGAAAATCTTCGAAATGAGATTAAAAGGCTTGAAAATAATGTGATTGATTATGAACATCAAATTTCAACCTTGGGAAGAAATTTAAGCGAGCTTGACGAAGACAAGCGATCTTTAGAAACCAAGGTACTGCAACGAGATGAAGAAATATTATCCGTGAAAAAAATGGCGGAGGAGCTTCAAAATGAAAAGAAACACCTCCAGCAGAAAATTGTGGAGCAAGACGAACAAGTATCGTTGCTTCAACTGAATGTGTCCAGTCTTGAAGAGAAGACAGAAAATGATATGTTACAAAGCTCGAAGGAAAAATCTACTGCCAAAATTTTAGTTGCAAACCTTGAAAAGCAAAAGAAATTGCTCAAAGATGACATTGTAAAGTGCAACAGTGAAATAACATTGCTTAAAAGAAAAGTCTCTCAGTTTGAAGAAGAAAGAGAATATCTTGCGACAAGCACCGCTGAGAAAGATCGAGAATTGTCTGAGTTTAGAATAACTGTGGGGAAAATTGAAGATGAAAAGAATCATCTCAAGGAAAGTAATGCTAAACAAAACAACGAAATATCGTTGCTTGAGAAAAAAGTGTCTCAGTTACAAGAACAAAGAGAGAATTTTACAAATAGTACCAATGTGAAAGCGAACGAAATGTCTGATCTTAGAACAATTCTGGAGAAACTTGAAAATGAAAGGAATACTTTGAGAGAGGATAATATTAAGCAAAGAAACGAAATGTCATTACTTGGAACAACAGTTGCCGAAATTGAGAAAGAGAAGGAGTGTCTTGCAAATGTTGTTGCTAAACAAGATGACGAACTTTCTTCTTTTAAAATAACTTTGGAAACACTTCGAGGAGAAAAGAAAGATCTTCAAGATGATATCAAAAACCGTGATATTGAAATATTAGCACTGAAAGAACGTGTTTCGAAACTTATCGAAGAAAAGGATTCTCATATGCAAAATGCAGTAAAAAAGGAAGAGGAGCTGTCTATGGTACGATTCAATACGACCGAACTTCATGAAGGTAGGAAAATTCTTGAAGAAAGTGTCTTGAAACGTGATAGTGAAATAGCGTTATCTGAATCAAAAATTTCTCAACTTGAGAAAAAAAAAGAATCTCTCTTTAATGACATTGCTGCGAGAGATGAAGAACTGTCTGTTATGAAAGTAGCTGTTGGAAATCTTGAAGAAAGGAAAAACGTTCTCGAACAAGATATTTTAGAGCGTGATAATGATATATCGTTGCAAGAAACAAGCATTGGTAGACTCGAGAAAGATAAGGAATCTCTTGCTAATGACATTGCTAAAAAGGACGAAGAACTAATTGCTATGAAGCTAACTGTCGAAAACCTTCAAGTTGAAAAGAAAGCTTTAGAAGAACACAATATTAGTCAAGTCAAAGAAATATCTTTAATTCAAACGACACTGGTTCAACTCCAAAGCAAAAATGATAATGATATTGTTGTGCAAGATGAAGAAATGTGTGATATGAAGGTAACGGTGGAAAATCTTCAAAATGAAAAGAAAGCTATAGAAGAACACAGTATTAATCGAGAGAACGACATATCTTTATTTGAAACGTCACTGGTTGAACTGAAGAGCGAAAAGGAGTCGATGGCCAATGAGATTGCTTTGCGAGATGAAGAACTGTCTCTCATAAAAATATCTGTTCAAAAACGTGAGGAAGTAAATAAATTTCTTGAAGATGTTATTGCGAAACGTGATGGTCATATATCCCAGCAAGAGGCAGGCATTGCTATACTTGAGAAAGAAAAAGAAATTCTGGCGAATAATATTGCTAAAAAAGATGAAGAACTCTCTGTTATGAAAGTAACAGTGGAGACACTTCAAAATGAAAAAGAAGCAATCGAAGAAAACAATTTTAGACGAGGTAACGAAATATCTTTGCTTGAAACAACACGAATCCAACTGGAGAAAAAAAATGAATCGCTCACAAATGACATCGGTAAGCGTAATGAGGAATTGTTTGCATGTAAAGAAACAATCGAAAAATTCGAAGCACAGAAGAAAGATTTTGAAAACGATCTCATGGGCCGTGACAATGAAATTATATTACTTAAAGAATTAAACTTATCTAAACTTCAAGAGGAAAAAGACTCTTTTGCAAATGACATAGAAAAACGTGATAATGAACTGTTAGCTTGTAAAGAAATTATTGAAAAATTGGAAGCGCAGAAGAAAGATTTTGAAAATGACATCATGGAACAGAATAGTGAAATCTTCTTACTAAAAGAAAAAATGTCTGAACTTGAAGAAGAAAAAGAATCGTCTGCAAATGATATCATTAATAAAGACGAAAAACTGTCGACTTTTGATGTAACTGTGGAAAAACTGAAGAATGAGAAGAAAGCTCTTGAAGATGATATTATGAAGCGTGGTAATGAAATATCGTTACTTGAATCGAGACTTGCACAACTTCAGAAGGAAAAGGAATCTTTTATGAACGACCTTTTAAAGAATGATAAAGAATTGTCTGTTTTGAAGATGAGTGTGGAAAAATTGCAGCATGAAAAGAAAGTGCTTGAAGAAGATATTATGAAGCGTGATGGTGTTAGCTCGATGCAAGAAGCGAATGTTGATAGGCTTGAAAAAGAAAAGCAAACACTTTCAGATGACTTAGTTGAAAAAAATAAAGAATTGTCTGGTATTAGAATAGGTTTGGAAAAACTTGAAACAGAAAGAAAATCCCTGGAAGACTCTGTCGTAAAAAGTGATGATCAAATTTTGATCCTTAATGATAAGATATCTAAGCTTCAAGACGAAAAAGAATCTCTCGCAAACAATATGGTTGACCAAGACACAGAACTATCAACTTTGAAAATCACTGTGGAACAACTTGAAAATGAGAAGAAGGCTACTGAAGACAATATTTTAAAACGCGATTCAGAAATTTTATCACTTCAATCAAACGTGTTCAATCTTCAAGAAGAAAATGAAACCCTTACGGATTCTATCGCTGAAAAGAATGAAAAATTATCTGCCTATATTGAAAATATTGAAAAACTCGACTATGAAAAGAACTCTCTTCAAAGTCTGGTTATGAAAGAAAGAGGAGAACTACTTTCGCTTAGAAATGATTTTAACGAAATTACTGAAGTGAAAGCGTTCCTTGAAGTTGATATACAAAAACGAGACGAGGAATTGTTATTGATAAAAGAAACTCTACACAATCTTCAAGATGAATACAAATTGTTGGAAAATAATAACGTTGAACACAACGAAATAATTTCTCATTACACTATGAAAATCGAAAGTTACCGAGAAGAGATTGGTCTTCTGAAAAACAATTTGCAGAAAGTTACGACTGAAAAGGAAAATGTTGAAAATAAAATGAAAGAATTCAATGAAAAGTCGAAATGCGATGAGGACGATTTTGATAAACTCATTGCAGGCTATCTGCAGGAAATTGATTCCTGGAAAAAGAGTTTTGGTGGCTTGGAGGAAGAGATGAGTGTTCTTAGAAATGAAATCGAAAGGCTTCAATATGAAAAAAGAGATTTAGAAAATATTTTTGAAGAAATGAGCGAATCCGAAAGAGTAAATGAGGAAAAGTTCCAAGAAAATATTAAAATCTATCACGAAGACATTGATTCATGGAAAGTGAAGGTACAAGACCTTGAAAGTGACGTGGAAGTTCTTAGAAAAACTGTGCAAGAGCTTGAACGTGAAAGCGAAAGTAAAAAATTGGAAATAAATCGAACAAATGAGGAGAAGGGGAAGAATAGTAAACTATATCAAGACATGGTGATAAAATTCCAAAAAGAAAGAGAAAATTCTGAGAAACAATGGGTAGTTGAAAAAGAAAAAGAGATAGGAAATCTTAGATTTGAATTGGAGACTAAGCTACAAATGATGGAATCACAATTTTCAACGAAGGAAAAGGAGTTACACGATAGAAATGTTAGCATGGAACAACTTAAAGACGATGTTAGTCAATTGAATGATGTTGTTTCGAAAAAGGATGAAGAAGTATTGGATCTTAAAAGTCAAGTTGTGGAGTTAGAGGAACGTACATTCGAAGCAAACAATAAAATTCATGGAATACAACAACAATATGATAGAAAGGAACAAGAGTTGAAACTTTCTGTTGAGGAATTCCAAGAGAAAGCTAGGAAATTAACGGAAATTGTTTCGGAAAAAGAAGAAAGAGTTTTCACTCTTGAAAATGAAATTAAGGGATTATCACAACTTGACAAAGAACTAGAAGAATCTAAATTAAGGTTCATTCAGGCACAGAAAAAATATGAAGATGAACTCAGAAACTTACAAAACACACAAAAGTCATTTGAAGCTAAAGAGCTAGCAGAAAAAAACGAACTAAAGTTAATGGAAAATGAGGTTAACCATTTACGAAGTGAGTTATCTGCCCTTCAGCAACAGAATTTAGAAGATACGAATTCAGAAAAGACTGTGAATAACAACACTGAGAAAAGTCGAGAACATTTGCGAGTTCTTTTAGCAGACATTGACGAGACAACGAAGATCAAAGTTAGTTTGGAGGAAGAGCTTCGATTGCTTCAGTCAAAACTCGAACAGCATTCCGAGGAGAAGATAAAACTGGAAATGGAGGTATTTTGTTTGAAAGAAATAACGGAAGAGTTGACAAAAGGAAAGATGACACTTCTTGAGGAGATTGCAAGACTCAGTGACCAGAAGAAAGAAGGACAGGAACTCCTAAACTCCGAGTTTTCTCGCTTGAGAATTTCAAATAACGAACTTCAGAACAACAGAGAAAAAATTGAAAAAGAAAACTCTGAACTTATCGTTCAAATAAGCTCGCTCAAAGTAACCCTTGCTACAGTTCAAAGCGCGTATGAACAAACTCAGGATGAAATTAAGAATCATAGAATGCGTTTGGATGAGGCTGGAAGGCGGGAAAAGCAACATAACCAGGAACAAGAAAAGTTGGATGAGAAATCCAAAAAAATTGAAGTGGAAATAAAGTACCTTGAAGAGAGAAATCGAAGTGTAACGGTCGAGAACAAGGAACTGTCTTCGTCCCTCAATGAAACAAGAAAACGCTTGGAATCACTTGAGGATGAGCTTCAAACAATAAAAGGCGAGAATGTTCTTTTATTACAACGATTAAAGCAACAAGAAAGTGGAGATAATGCTGAGGGTTTAGACAGTGGAAGGTCGTCGACGCAAGCCAGTGCCTTAAGAAAGAAACTTAAAGAGTTTCGTGGCAAGTTGAGCGAAGAGAAGAAACAGCGAGAGCTTCATGAGTTTGAAATTAAAAACCTGAACGAAAAAGTTGAAAGAATCGTGAAGAAGGAAAAAGAAAATGAAGTTCAGTTGGAAAGTAGTCGTAAGAAGTTTCTGGAGGTGAAGACGGAACGAGATGGGTTGTTGATGGATCTTGATAGTTTGAACAAGAGGAAGAAGAAGGATGTGGAGGGATATACGAGCAGGATTGATACACTGGAGGATGAATTGAGGTGAGTCCGATATCCAAGGTTTGATTCAATGATTTTATGACTGAGACTAAGGTTTTATTAGAGAGCTGGCCTTATCTTGGACATAACTGGTTGAGACTTTCCCTTTATACAAAATTCGCATACTCCTTATGATGAATTCCATGTTAAATTATGTTTTGTTTCTTAAGCCCCCGCTCCCCCAATTCAATGTTGAGCTTGAGTCATGATAAATTACCAAAAGTTGTTTCGGCGCTGTTCACAACATTGAACTGGGGGAGAGAGGGTGACGAAGTTTGTTTTGTCAGTATGCATTAACTTTGCAATATTGGCTGGAAAGGTCTCAACGGTTATGTCAAAGATTGTAGCTTTTGTCTTAAACTCTTACGCTTCGCCTTAAATAACAGTCGAAAATTGCTTACTAGCCTTTTAATGCATAAAATATAAAATATAAAATAATGCAAAATCATGATAGCTAGTTTTTGAATCGGTCAACATACTATTTGTGATTTTTGATATATAATTACTACTAGGCTATTGAGAGAAAAGGAGTCGAAAAAGGCAGATGGCAAACAAACAAAAGAAACAGTAAATGTTTTAAATGAAGAGAAAAAAATACTCGAATTGAGATTAACATCCAACCAAGAACGACATCAGAGGGAGGTCACTGAACTCAAGAGAACATTGGGCTCGTTACAAAACCGTTATACCACGGAATTGAAGCGATTTGAAACGACTGAAACAGCCAATAAGAACGAGATTCTCAAGCTTAGAAAATCGTTGACTTCTATCGAGAGAGAACACGAAAGCCAAAGAAGAGAGCTTGAACAATTACGAGCGAATTTGGTTGCGAGCAATGGGGAAAAAGAGAAAATTGAAAACGTTTTAACTGAGAAAAATTCTGAAGTGAATAAGTGGAAGAAAGAGGCCTTGAATGATAAAGCTGAAATCAGGTTTCTGCGAGGATCTTTGAATATTTTGGAGAAGGAAGGTTTGACAAGCAAGCCTACGGAAACTCCGGACCGTGTTACGAATTAATGACGAACTTTCGTCAGATTAAACAATCAAGGGGAGTAGCGTACCATTCTTGACGCTTAGATACAATGCTGTTGTAGTTAATTAATTTTTAGAGTTACTTCATGAGAACTGCGAGTAGTTAAAAGTTATGTTAGAACTTACCATCAATTAAATGTAACTAGATTCAGATAATGGTGAACAAGGCCAAAATTTGGGAGAGGGCCCCGCGAAGAGCCGTCTGTAACTCCAGTCGTACTGCTCTGCGCTGTTTTAATATTACGTCATATTAGCCTAGCTATAGCCCGGTAAAAAATCAACCTCAGGATCCTACAATATCCCTTCAGCGGCCTTGTATATTAAGTTAAATGTCCGGAAGAGGTGCTATGTATAGAATACTGTAACAGATTAATTTAAAGTAGAAACCAGAAAGGGTAAAACAAAAATACTTTCAGAGGACTAAAAGAGCGGTTTTTAGGGCGATAAATTTTTTTCATGGTACAACCATGACTAGTGTTATAAGGTTTTAACTGAGGGGGACCAAATCTCCTAAGGGTTGTGTTCAAATAAAGTTTTTTCTATTTATCTATCTATAAAGCGTTGCATGAATAGCTGTTCTTTCCAGGAGGGGTCTCCCGGTAAACCCCTCAAGAAAAGGCGTGTCATGGCTGTAGGGACTCGACTAGAAAAGCTCAACTCAAAAGTCGAAAATTACTACTCGAAATTACTTCAGTATTTCGTCAGTGTTAGTACTATATATATTTCAAACACTCGTTAATAATTCATAAGCTTATTGGCAAATCATGTCAACTATAATATGTGAAGAGGCTTTATACCTGATAAAACTCATCTAATCATCTTCATTAGTATTCTTTATTTCTTTATATATAAAAGTTCTTCCTAATTAGTATTCTTTATATAAAGAATACTAATGAGACGGCATCTATTGTGATCGTGTTTGAAGCTATTCAAAACACTTGTAGTCGTGTTTTATCATACCTAAAAGGCTGGTGCATTAGTGCACTCGCATTTTAAGTATGAGAAAACACTCCTACGCGTGTTTTAAATAGTACTTAAATTATAGGAAACTAAAGAAATATATAGCTACATAAGTACAAAAATAAAGGTATGTTACTTACATTTCCTCTGATTTATCAATACTGTAGTACATTTGGCATTTTTATGCCGCATATTTTATACTATTATCATATATACGACATCACTTGCATTTTTGTGCAAAGGCCAAAGCTCAGTGTGATATTGATTGCTTTCTTACTCTTGCGCGTTATGTCGCTCACTACTTTTCTTCGCTGTCGTATGGGAAGCAGCAAGCAGTTTGAAGAAAGAGTCTGGTTTCTCGCTATCAAACGGGCTTCTAGATAGCGCTGCGATTCTTATATACACATATTGCGTCGGCAATGCGACACAATTGTTATGACGGCAAGGCCAAATAGGTTGTTGCTAACTGCAAAGGTGATAGGATGCTAGCCTTGGATATATGAGAAGGGCATATTGTGCGAATATGAAACATTCTCAAAAAACTCTTTGTAAACGGGTCTCAAAAACAACAGAATCTATAATAATAGATAAAAATTAAAAAAGCTTGCTAATTATCGACATTATCTTGCACTGATGTGCCACAACCTCAGGGGGTAAACAATTTCATTTAATTAACCTTAGTATAAGAATGTTGGTGTTCGATTGCGGTGCCCGTGCCATTTTTGGCACCGCATTATATTCTGCCTGTGAGTTTGTTAGTTTGTCCGTTTGTTAGTTTGTTCGCATCAATACGTTTCCTTAATCGCCTACCAAAAATTCCTTGCACGTGCTCGGAATTTATTAATTATTATTAATCGTGTACACTCATGATGATCGACAAGTTTTCTCAGCTTTATCTCTGGTTTTATGCGTCAAACAAGGACAAAAATACCGCAGTTCGCATCAGCGTGTAAAGTTGTGTTTACGGATGGAAAATTGATTTCAAAATTGACTTCTATTCTAGGTATTTGTCGCCTTTGAAAGACAAAAGCCGCTCAAAATAATCCTTCACGTTTTCCAAATTCCTTTTTTCGAGGAAAGTTTTCTTTGGAATTACAACTCGAACTCTCACGATTGACATTTTGCTTCGTCTTATCTCTGGTTTTATGCGCCCAATAAGGACAAAAATACCACCGTTCGATTCAGTGTAAGAAATTATACTCACAAATGTCAAATGTATTACTAAACTACAGTATTCTAGCGATTTATGGCCTTTGAAAGACAAGCGAAATTGTATTGTTCACAAATCGCTCAAAATTATTAAACATAATTAAAAGTGCAATGCATTTGACCTTGATAACTTTCGTATTGTTGGTTTCTCTTTTTCGGCCGTATACCAGTGGATTCGTCTCACTTTTCTCTTTATTTTGTTAGTAGTTTGAGCCCAAAATATTATATTTTGAAGCTTTTAATGTGCAGTTTTAATAAGCGAAATTGTATTGTTTACAAATCGCTCAAAATTACTAAACTAATTAAAAATACAGTCCGTTTGATCCTTGATAACTTCGGAATTGTTGGGTTTTCTCGTTTTCGGCCGTATGCCAGTGGATTCGTCTCACTTTTCTCTTCATTTTGATAGTATTTTGAGCCCAAAATATTTTATTTTGAAGGCTTTAAAACGCAGTTTCGACCCTAACGTACGGACCAACTGGCGGCCGACAGGAGAATATAGCGTACCTTGCAGGTACCCTAGTTTAATATAGGGATTGCTGCGGGCATCAAAAGCAAATAGAACCACAGTAAAGAGCGCAAATTATATCAAGCACAGTGATTACTCGCAGCAACTAGTGAGCTGTGAATGGAACTGAAAAGAAGGACAAGAAGCAATATATATTGAAGTAGCAAAGATTGAAGTAGCAAAGACCAGGGGTTAAAGGGCAATCAGAGGTGACAGATATATTTAAACATGTGCGATTTCATATCAAGTCTGTCAAGTCATATCTGCTAGGTGCATTTACCACATTATATAGACTATATACACAGATTTATCACACTAAGAAACCAAAACTTTATAAAAAATATAGAACTGACAGTGGCCAAAGTCCAAAACAAATGTAAGCGTAACATTAGACGTCACATGAAAAAGCTTTAGAAATTCGATAAAAATTCGATAGTGGGTCCTCGCAGACCTCGCGCGCTCACTTTTCCCTCACTAGAAACTTCATGTATTAGCCAACAGGAGAAATCTAGGGGCCCCATCTAGCATATTATTTTATATAAGTTTACTTGTAGGCGAAACGCCAGAAATGTTTTTTGCAGGGCACCGCATTTTAGTACTGTGTCTGGTTACTATTTATTTTCAACAGCTTTTGAATTCTAAGTAATCACAAGGCAGCATTTCACTTGCCATAGTAACTTCTAACCTTGCACACATCTAAAAATATATGTCACACATAAAAACTGGCAAGTTTGGTTATTCTTGGGCTACCATTTGGGCATGGTAGGTATGATCCTCTTGGATGAAACAGGCTGTTGTGGCAACCTTTTGAGGTAAAAACATATATATATATATATATATATAAGGCTAATTTATCTGATGAGTGCCACATCTTGTGGTACGAAACTAATAGTAATAAAGATGCCTAGTGGAATTTGTTGAGTCGTTGCACTTATTTAATTATGCTCTGGATATCCATTGAGCACTCTGCCAAATGTTTTTGTAAACAACGAAACCTAATTATATATATATATATATATATATATATATATATATATATATATATATATATATATATATATATGTAACAAACAGAACGGCTACGTTTGAAGAAGTTTATTAAAAAAAAGTATATTAAATACAAAAACTAAATTTTCGGCTGCATGCCACAGCCTTCTTCAGAGTGCCTATAGCTTTACACAGAACATACTTATATACAATAAATTATGAATAAATTACTATTGTTGGGCGAAATCATGACTACCATTAAGGCCTTTCCGGTTGGTCAACAACATTCCTATCCAAAAGTTTTCACTCTTAAGTACTTCACTATGGTGTTGGTCAATAAGCATAAATTTTAAGCTCGAATGATCCGCCTCATGCACATCAATAAAATGATTTGTTATACTGCATGTCCGGCGCTTATGCTTAATGTGTGATTTGTAGTTAGCTAGTCTGGACTTAAAATTGGCCGTAGAGCCAACACCTTGCAAACCACAAAGCACACACTCAGCAAGATACACTACATTACTGGAAGTGCACGTCAAAGATTTTAAAATGAGAAATATCCTTCCAGTGGCAGCTGCACGAAAGGAATTGCCAAAAATCAAAAAGTTCTTACAACTATCACAGCGCTTGGCATCACATTTGTAGCAGCCTTCACCTTCCAGTTTATTGGGCTTATATGGGTTAGATGGTGCTAATAACTCCTTCAAATTGGCATTACGCTTATACGAAACAAGAATGGCACCCTCCGGTAGAATTTTTTTGGCCTGTTCATCACTATCTAAAACAGAGCGATGTTTACGAAAATTTTTTTGAATATCAGGAGCACTAGGATTAAACTTGGTAACAAAAACACAGGAATTACGACGAACTTTACGTCTACTGGTACGCGCTTCCTCACGAGTCATAGCACCAACCACCTCAAAGGCTCTATTGACATGTGCACTGTCGTGGCCGCAATCCGTAAGATATTTCCTATAAATCCTACTTTTTTCCCAAAAATCAGCGTCCCTAGAGCATATGCGACGCAATCTCAATGCCACTCCTTTGGCAATACCCAAAATTTGAGATTTTGGGTGCGACGAATTGGCATTGAGATACAAGTGTGCGTCCGTGGGCTTACTATAAACTGTAGTTTCCATACGATTATTAACTATGGAAATCAAAAGATCGAGAAAATGCAAACTACGCCCACCCACATCCATAGTAAACTGTAGATGCGGGTCGAATGTGTTGAGATCCTGAAAAAACGCTTGAAGCCGTTCCATGGTACCCCGCCATAACACAATCGTATCATCTCGAAATCTAAACCAACATCTCAGTT